ACCTCTAAAGGATGCTCCCAGAGGTCGTGGGGAGGCTGGGAACTAGCAGAGGAGCAGGAAAGAGATGGGTGAGCCAGGGTCTTCACTGAAGGGTCTTTGTTCATCATTAGTGGTTGTCTGAGTCTCTGAATACAGTGGACCACACTGGGTGGCCTGCCCACACACTGCTCAGCCCAGAGCCTGTCTTTGAACTGGGTTATTCTTGCCCAGGAGGTCCCATGGATTTTATGTTGATGTCCTCAGCTGGACTACTGTTTTTGCATGGATGGACACTGTATCTCAGGCCCAGGGACTATGCAAAATGTTGCTTGGATTTGACCTTGATAGAGACAGTAATACAAAAGATGATGGCAGCGAGAGTGGGGATACGTGAAGGCAGAAAAAGGCAGGAGCTGGGAGAAGAAAAGAAATGGGGATGGAGTCACGGATGCTGATAGAGATAAAGATGGGAATGGAGGGCTAGGAACACACCTTGGTTGGTAGAATGCTTGTCTAGCATGCATGAAGCCCTGCATTTGATCCTCGGTACCCATAAACCTGGCATGGCAGTACTTGCCTGTAATACCAGTAACTCAGGAGGTGGAAGCAGGAGGATCAGAAGTTCAAGGTCATCCTCTGATACATAATGAGTTGGAGGCCAGCCTGGACTACTTAAGATCCTGTCTCAAATAATTTGTTTTAAAAAGGTGAAGATGGACATGGAGATGGAGTAAAGGTAGAGGTGGAGATTGGGAGATGGAGATGGAGGTGGAGGTGGAGGTGGAGGTGGAGACGGGGTGGAGATGATGAGAAAGGTGGAGATCATTTTGGAAATGGTACTGGGGATGAAGGTAGAGATGGTGATAAAGATGAAGATGGATGGAGGTGGGGATGGAGGTGCAGAAGGAGGTGGGGACAAGAATGTATTAGAGGTAGACTAAGGGTAAGGGAGGGGCACAGACAATGAGCCTCTGAGGCTCATACTTCTTAAGCCAGAAGTATGTAGGAGACACAATGACAGGGATGCGTGTGGTGGAACATCGTAAGCAGCCAGTGCTCCCGGGTGGAAGACGGCTTTCTGACTTGTACTCAGAGCCCTCTACCAAGTGACAGGAGGCATGATGCAGACTGGCATTCTCCCAGGACGCTGTGCCTGAGTGTCTGTTATGGGTAGAGTGTGGGAAGCCCAGGCTGTCCACGCAGATATTCGCAGCTCCGCTGTGCCATCGTCCATACAACAGAATCTGTTACTTATGAGCTTGGTATGCATTGTTAACACCTGCTCAGGCATATGAGGAGGGACAGAGCTTGGCTCCCAAGGGTGGTAGTGAGCATAACTCAGGTGCAGATCTCTAGAATGAGGATGTGTGTGTGTGTGTGCATGAATGTGTGTGCCTCTGTGCTTGTATAATTGTGTGTGTATGAGTGAGAGCTCCCTGCTGTTCAAAGGAGCTGTCCGGGATCTAGAAGGCTGGACGCCCACTGAGGCTCTGCTGTTGACTTGTGGCGTGAGCATAGGTAGGTCTGTGCATCTCTGACCACAGTGTGCTCATCTTCAAAATGGAACACTTTGCTGAGAGCTACCCAGCAGATATACCATGCCAGTTATGTATGAACTGTTAAGTCTTCTAATGGGCACATGAAAGAAAATGGAATTAAGACATGGCATAAATTTTAACTATTTATGAACACTCAGTATATCTAAAGTGTTATCATGTCGACATGAAATCAATACAAATTATTCATGGCATATCTTACAATTTATTTTTATAAACTTAAGTCTTTGAAACCTGATACACATTTTATACTTCCAGAACCTGTGAGCTTAAACAAACAGCATTTCAAGTGCTCACATGGCACAGGGCATGAGCGGCTACTGTGGTCAAGGCTGCAAACCTCGGGCATTTTCTGGTCTCCTTGCTAAACTACAAATGGACGGGGCTTGATTGTCCCAGCTCTCAGTGAGTAGCCTCAAATAAAGAATGCTATCAGGGAAGCTACTGAGAATACTGGGAACACTTTTAACACATTATAGGCCATGTTTATTGAGTCTCCACAAGTCCCTGGTAATTCCACTTACAGGTAAAGAAAGAGGCTGAGAGAGGTTAAGTCACCTGTCCAAGGTCACACAGCTGACAAGTGGTACAGCTGGTCTTTGATCCTTGAGTAATCTGATCTAGAATCCATACTCTTCTTATATTTCATTTGTTTGGGGTTTTTTTTTTCATGTGTATGAGTGTATTGCTAGCATGTAGGTACATGCAGCCATGTTTTACAATGCCCATGGAGGTCAGAAGAGGGCATCAAATTCTCCTGAAGCTGGAGTTATAAACTGTTGTTAGCTGCCATGTGAATATTGGGAATCGAACCCAGGTCCTCTGCAAGAGCAGCCAGTGCTCTTAACCACTGAGCAATCTCTCCAGCCCCTAGAACCCACACTCTTAACCATCACTCTACACTGCCTTTCTTATTTTTAGTGATGTAGGGCTGGAGGTGTAGCTCAGCGGTAGAGCACTGTCTAGCACTCGGGAGACTCTGGATTCCATCCCCAGCACCACCACCATGAAATGTCACTAAAGAGCATTCATTAACATCCCTAGCTTGGACCACAGGCTCCTCATAAGCACCTGCTCATTCACTGCTTGAGCGATCCTGTCAGGCAGGTTCTGGGAGCGCGTCCTCTGTTCCTCAATGAAGGTGAGACAAAAGGAAGATGTGCTTTGGGTGCACGTTTAGGAGATGAAGATGGGGTGATGATGGAGGTGGAGTTACAGGTCTTAATGGGAATGAGGCTGATGATAGGGATGAGAACGGAAGAATTTGAAAGTGGGATGGAAGTGCAGAGGGAGGCGGGGATGGGAACATGTTTTGGGAGCAATAAAGGTGAGGGGGCACAGTCAATGAGCCCAGGAAGTGTTGTTTTACACTGAACTCTAACTGGAGGTTCCCTGGCCTTTGGGACAGCAGAATCAGAGGCAGCTTCCAAGGAAACCAGGCCACCAGGCCTCCTGGAAACTGAAGGGTGCTAGAGAAGTGAGTACTCTCAACAATTGAAACTTGCACTGAGTGGTGGGGGGCACTGGAGAGCTGGCTCAGCAGTGAAGAGCACTGGCTGCTCTTGCAGAGGACCTGGGTTCAGTTCCCAGCACCCACATGGTGGCTACTGACTATCTGTAACTCCAGTTCCAGAGGATTTAACGCCCTCTTCTGGCCTCCACCAGCATTGCACAACACAGGTGCACTTGCATACAAGCAGGCAAATCATTCATACACATAAAATAAAATAAATTTAAAGAAAAAGGAATTTGCACTTGGGCCAAAGGTACCAACAGGTACAAACCCTACTTCCCCTCCCTCCCCACTTGCAGCTGGCCTGCGTGCCAGAGAGTCTAGGCTCCAGAGTCAGGCTGCCGCTTTACCTCATGCTGGCTCTGTGAGCTGGCATCTTGTCTTCCTTTCTGTAGAATGGGAATAGCGCACCCTCCTCACAGCCTGGCCCAGTTCGCAAGCTGATTCTTGCTATAAGATCTTGCATTTTCCGTCGCTTTCTGGAAAAGTTACACTGTAGAGTGCGCAACTTCTGGGTAATTGAAGGGTTCTGGTGTGTGTTTCCGCTCAGAATCCCAGCCCCACTAACCATCTGTTTCTCGCCATCTTCCACTTAAATTACAAGCCGCCCCGCGCTTTTGTTCATTTTGTTTTGTTTCTCCTCTCTCACCCCCAGCATGGCACAGTTGCCTGAATGATGGCTTATACCTGGCTCCATCTCACTGGGCCTTAAAACAAAGGCAGCCCTGAGGCCTCTCCATACTCTGCCACATCACCAGATACCCACAGAGGGTCCCTGGCACCCTGCCCAGCACCTACTGGGTGTCAGGAAATACTTGCTGAGGTTAATTAAACTCAAGTGAGGTGAAAAACCCCCACACAAAGACAAGACCTCCATCTAGTCATTTTCTCCCCACCCCCGATGCCCCATTGTACACGGCCCAAGGCCAGGCAAACAAGGCTGACAGCCTGCTCCAAGCGCAGTTCAGAGATGCTGCTTCCTACGGGTGCTAAGGAGGTAGGGGAAATACAGCAGAGGTCATGTTAACGTTGAATTCCCAGCGTGGGCTGAGCCCTCCTGATTCTCCAGCTTGAGTCCCATCCAGCCCCTACTTTGGCCTAGTACTGTTCCCATTTAACAAAGCAGACAGCAGAGGCACACAGTCTGGATAACGACCCCAGTCACTTCGAGCTCACTCCTGCCCCATGAAAGTCGCTCTCCTTTCCAGCTGAAATCCATGCTGTGTTTTCGGGCTCTTCGAACGCGAAGTCATCTCATTTCCCTGCCCTCGCCTGAAACTTTCCGTGGCTCCCCACTGCTCTCAGGAGAAAGAAGAAACAGCTTTTAGTCAGTGGTGAGCTGTTCAAGCAGCTTTCTGGGAGTCAGGAGCAGAGCAGGGAAGAAGGAAGGCCCCGACTGGTAGCAGTTGCTGGTTTTCTCTGTGTAAAGACACCCACGGCGACCTGTTTCAAGTTGGCAACGGTGTAACAGTTAGCTCACAAAATTCCTGAAAATGTCACAATCCGCTACACAGGTTGGAGTTGGCTCAGCGCAGTCAACCAGCCACCACCCTTCGTGTGTTCTGCATGTGCTCTGCAAAGCTTCCCAGATCTGGGGCATCATGAGCCCCTTGCCCCTCCTCGCCCCTGACAGCCACCACTGGGCCTTTGCACACTCTGTTTCCATCCATTGTGGCTTCTCTAGCAGCGACATCACAGATCCCTCCACTGAGGCAAGGTCCCCTCTGCAATGGGACACCTTCCTTCAGGAGCCTGGCACACTTAGTATTCACAGACATCTGAGTCTCATGTGTCTACCCCACTGGGCTGCAAGACCCAGGAAGCCAGGTCTTCCTCTGTATTCCCAGCAGCAGACCCCATGTTCACCACAGTCAATCCTCACACAGCCCCAGTGACTCTTCCTGAGTCCTGCAGCTGAGCCAAGGGTTTTCCTGTCCTTCCCTCTGAGGCAGCTCCTCCCACCTCCATCGAAGTTGTGGCTGCTGATTCGCCCGCCCCCTTCAGCCGGTACCAAGCCCAGAACTTCACACTGGTCTGCATCGTGTCAGGAGGGAAGCCAGCACCCATGGTAAGTGCCTGGGACCCCCCCCCAAGCCCTCCATTTGCCAGGACTCCCTAGTCCCTGCCCCCCCTGAAGGTGTCACCTCTGTGCCCAGAGAGGGTGTGATCTGCCTTCCCTGACTCTGCCCATCTGTCTGGGTTCTACCAGGTGCCCAGCACCTCTCTTGCTCTCTGTCTCCTGCAATCCTAGGACTTCACTGTAAGGGTGGTCTTCTGCCCCCTCATTCTAGATATTGAGCAGAATGGAGCCCGTGATGGGGACCAGAGAGGGGCAGGGACTTCTCCAGTGTCCCCACGATACTTCCCACAGAGAGGAGACCCAAGTTCATTTCCTCACGGTTCAAACCCCACTGCTCCTCCTGGGCCTCTGTGTGGTTCACAGGACGTCCCCAAAATGCAAGAGAGGAAAAGGAAATATATATATATGGGGAGAGAGAGAGAGAGAGAGAGAGAGAGAGAGAGAGAGAGTCAGGTTTGTGTCCCCAAATTCCCTTCAGTGTAGATGCATCCAGAGAGAGAGAGAGACAAAGGCAGAAAGAGGGCAGTTCCAATCATGGGAATGGACCCACAGCCAGGAGCACCTGGGAGTAGGGTTCTAGTCCAGGCCACACCAGCCCCTGGGACGGATCCCTCTTCCCTCCTCAGCTTCAGTAACAAGCTGGAGGGTTGGACGCCCCTCAATGTTTCCCAAACACCTCACCACCTGGCTGCCACTTAAGATACTGGGATAAAAGATCAGATCTCTCCTCCCTCCCTCTCTCCCTCTTTCTCTACCTTCTCTCTCCCCCACCTCCTCCTCTCTTCTTCCTCCCACACTCCCTCTTCCCCCTCCCACTCTCCCTGTCTTCCTCCCTCTCTCTCTTCCTCCCTCCCTCTCTCTCTTTCTCCCCCCCCAATCTATGAAAGAGCCTCATCTCCCAACATTTCAGATATCTTACGTTTGTCTGAGACGTCAGAACTTGAAAGAAATTCTTTGATATAAATTACAAACCTGCTTTTGAAGGACTTTTCAAAAAGAAAAAAAAAAAAGCAAAGAACTGGGGGAAACCCACCAACCCCCCAGAGCAGCCATTATGTGCAGGAGATTCTTGTGCAGAGTTCTAAATCTGACAGGTTCTCTGCATCCACCTATCACCCCCCCCCCCCTCCCCAGCCTCTCCCCCACCTGCCCACCCCCCCGCGTCATCTCAAACCCACCAGTGTCCCCAGCTTCCTGCTCTTCTCTCCGTCTCCTATCGATTCATTTATCTGATTTATTAAAAAATACACCCAATCCCTGCAGGCCTCTGGGCACATGTACCAAAATAAAAAGACAGCAAATTAAATTAAATGCTGCTTCTCAAAACCTGAATTCCCCATTAGCAGAGAAAGGGAGAAGACAGCTTCTCTCACCTCATTCCCCTCCTAGCTCCCTCCACATATGCACCTGTTCCCTAGCAGCTCCAAGTCTCCAAATTGTGCACATGCAACACACACACACAACACACGCACATGTACACACACAAAATACACATTCACACACATACACAAATACAAACAACACATACATACACACTCACACACAACACACATGTACACATAAATATATACATCCACTCATATAGAACACACTATGCACATACACACACAGACATGCACAACACATACCCATACACAAACATATACACACATACATACACTCTCACACACATATATTTATACACGATAAACTCATGCATAACACATACATATACACATTACACACATACATTCACATACTCATGCTCACATATATACAAGCACACAAACACAATACACACATGTACACAACATACACACATTCACACATACATGCATACACAACACCCATATACACAACACATGCTTTTACACAAACACACACATGCTGGCATGTACATGCATACACATACACAAACACCACACTCACAGCACACACACATACACAGCACACATATATGCTACATACACATGCACACATACACATATATACAAACATACCCTCACACATATGCACATGCACAGACATGCACATGCATGCACACACATACACACACATGCACTCGCATACTTGCACCCATACATATATACCCATGCACACATACATGCTCACATGCACACACATACATATACTTTCTCTCCTCTTCCTCATCACACACCTCATTTCACCTCCACTGCCCACCCATTTCCTTCTTATCCGAGTGCCCCCAGGCGGCACGGGCCACACTGTCAGGCACAGGCCACACTGGAGGGCATGGGCCACACTGTCAGGCGTGGATCACACTGGAGGACATGGGCCACAGTGGAGGGCATGAACCACACTGGAGCCCAGGTCACAGCTACATGGCCTCCAGAACTGATCTCCTACATGGTTCAGATCTCCTAGCTGCTCCCCAGAGTAGACATTATCTCTCTTTACAAGTGGGGAAACTGAGGCTAAAATTCTTCCCAGGTCAGTGATGGCATTGGGCTGAACCGCCTCTCTGGGGGCTGTGCATGTTCTGTCCACTCACTTTGGCTCATAGTTTTCAGGGAGGTAAGGGAAAAGACTGGGAATCGATGTAAACACAGCCTAGAATGACCAGGCTCCTGAGAGCCATCTTTGCTCACTGCTCTTCCCACCCCTGCTTGCATCTGCAGGTTTATTTCAAACGGGATGGGGAACCCATCGATGCAGTGCCCCTGTCAGAACTACCGGTGGCCAGCTCTGGCCCCCTCCAGGACAGCAGGCCGTTCCGAAGCCTCCTGCACAGGGACTTGGACGACACCAAGATGCAGAAGTCACTGTCCCTGCTGGACACGGAGTACCGGGCTGGACGTCCCTACACAGAACACCCCTTACACAGCCTGACCCCAGACCCCAGCCTCTCCCTGCAGCCCACCACGGAAAACATCCCAGAGACAGTCGTGAGCCGAGAATTCCCCCGCTGGGTGCACAACGCAGACCCCATCTACTTCCTGCGCCACAGCCGCACCCCAAGCAGTGATGGCACGGTGGAGGTGCGCGCACTGCTCACCTGGACCCTCAACCCACAGATCGACAATGAGGCCCTCTTCAGCTGTGAGGTCAAGCACCCGGCACTGTCCATGCCCATGCAGGCGGAGGTCACGCTGGGTAAGGCATGGCAGCCCCCCGCTGCGCTGCCCCACAGAGAGAGGAGGGTATGGTGCTAGAACAGGGGCCACAGATTGCTGGAAGCCATGAAGAGGGATCAAATGGAGTCAGGTCATCATAGAGGGAAGTTGGGGTGCTTCAGGAGACTTGCTCATCAGACTGGAGAAAATGGAAAGTTCTACACGGTTAACGGGTTTGTTGGTCAGGGTCAGGAATACAGGAGGTCAGGGGCTTTGCTGGTCAGGGTCAGGAACACAGAAATTCAGAGTAAATTTGTTGGGTCATAAAGAGGTCCACAGGAGGTCGTAGCAAGTCAAGGAAAGTTTCTAGATCACAATCAGGAACGGGGGAGTTGACAGAAAGATCTGGATCAAATAGGAGACCTGGGAACCCATAGGTCAGTGCTGGGTCAGGTCCCTGATTTGCTGGAAGAGGCCAGGATAGGAAAAGTTGAGGAATGCTTTGCCAGGCTGCCTGGGATGAAGATGGGGAGGGCAGAGATGACATCATCCTGCTTGCTTTTCTACACACAATGAAACCCTTGTCATCTGTGGGTGTGAGGAGATAGGTGCAGACAGGACAGCAGATGCCCAGGGCCAGTCCAGCTCTGCCTGTGACCTGCTTCAAAGCACCAATGTCCTGAGAGATGACCCCCTCCACTTGTAAGCTGAGTCAGAGCTGAGAGAGGGAAGGGTAGAAATTTGCAACTCACAGAACCAATGTTTATATTGATTGGGTATGCAGGCCAGGATTCAATGGCCCACAGTGGTCCTTTGAACATGCTCTGAGGCTTGTCATAGCTCAGGATGCCAGGGCTGTCCTCTGTGTGCCTGTAGTGGTGAGAAGCTTTGTGGAGCCACACACAGTCTCTCAAACAGGTTCCCATGGCCAAGGCCAGACACCAATGACTGCTCAGGGCCAAGACTGCAGCTTGTATCAGGATGTCCAAACAGTTTCTTCCAACCCCTCCTCCACCCCAGATGCAGTAGAAAAAGACTTCTTGGACACACAGAACCTGCTGTGTGCTGGGAATATGTACAGGCCCAACCCTCAACTCTCACAAGTAGAAGCTGTCCAGAAACTCCCATTTTACAGATGAGCAAAACTGAGGCTCCCGTTGGCAGAGCTCCTGGCTCTGAGTCCCAGCACAGCAGAGCTGTGATGTCTTCTCCATCCTCCACAGTACTGGGCTCACCAGCCCTGGGTCCAGATGCCCTTAACTGGCTGTGTGGACCAGTTCACTGAAGACCCATTTTAGGAAATGGCTCTAGCCTCCCACAGCTCCTTTGTCCACACAGAATGTAGGAAGGGCTGTTTCCTGAACGCACGTCTGCCAGACTGCTGTTCTGTTGGTCCAGTGATAACCCAGGGGAGCAGGCTATGCTGTAATCCCAGATCACACACTGCAGACTGAGGTTCAGGGAGGGTCCCTAAGTTGCCCAAGGTACATGGAGGAGTCAAAGTCTCCTCCAAACATCCACTGCTGGGGGTGCCACCCCCAGGGGCCATGTCTTTACTCATTCCATAGACATATTATGAGCCCCCCCCCAACAGGCAAGACTCTGTACTCAGCCTGGTTGGACCCACTTCTCAGCCCCTGCTTTGACATCCTGTCCCCCTCTCTAGACCCTCCTTCCTTCCTGGGCCTTTGCCTGGTTACTTTGCCCATGAAAGTCACTCCCAGTCCCACACCTAGAAAGGACAGATAAGAACAGATAAGGAGCCTCAAAGCTTCTGGCAAAAGGCCTAGGTCATAATGATAGCCCTGTTCTGGCCTCCTCGCCTCAAGCCTGCTTTGCTTGTGACCCCAGGACCCCCTTACCTGAACAGCCTCTGTAGACACACCCCTTCTCCCAGTAGAGCAAGGGAGAGGAAGGCAGTGGGTCTGGATGGTCATAGTGTGACCATGGGGAAGTGAGGGACAGCCAGGACCCCTGAGATGAATGGGTCTAAAAGGCGGGGGGGGCAAGTGAAGAGACCCTGGTTTGCTTTCTATCCTACCCTAACTGCTATTGATTAATGGAACCCTGGGCCACTTGTGTCTCTAAGCTTCAGTTTTCTGACCTGTTGAATGGGGAGGATAACAGAATACATGGTTTAAGAACAAGCTAAGAGGGACTGAAGAAATGGCTCGGTGGTTAAGACCTGGGTTCAATTCCCAGCACCTACATGGCTTCTAACAACCATCTGTAACTCCAGTTCCAGGGGAATCCGATGCCCTCTTCTAACCTCCACAGGCATTGCACGACACGGGTGCACTTACATACATGCAGGCAATACACTCATACACATAAAATGAAAAAATAAAAAGAACAACCCTGCAGTACCTTGGGCAGCCACTGAGAGGCACTGTCCTTGTTATCATCTCTTAGTCGAGAGATCGGGGTTCAGATTGCCTATCCTTAAGTAAACTCACTGAGGTTGTGGGCCCCCTAAAGTCTACTCTCCTAGCCACTGCTTCACTGCAGCCTTCCCCAAAGGACTATAGTCAAGGACATACTGAGCTGGGGGTGCGGCCTGTGGTGAGTGTATTCACATGACATAGTGAGGGACCCTGAACTCTGAGACACTGTGGAGTGGGTGAAATGGTAATGGGACACAGAACTCGACCACCTGGCAAGGACTTTGAAGAGCAGGCTTGTTTGCTACAATGCCCCCCAACACACACACACACCCATTCCCTGCCGGAGATACCCTACATAGCTCACATGCTACCCCCTGTATGAACCCTGCCTGGGCCACCCCCAGTCCCTTGACTGTACCCTTCCTGCTGGATTTGCACCCGTCTCCTGGTGGCCCTAGAAGCCATTTCAGTAGATAGAGTTCCTTCTTCCCATTGGCCAAGCCAGAGGCCTCAGGACCACCCACGTTCCCACTGTCCAACAGCTCAGCCTCCAGATATTTCTGAGACTGCTCTTATGCTTCTCCTGTGACCGCTGATCTCCACCCATCCAAACACTGTTCATCCACCCCTGGAGCATGAGCATCACCTCCAAGTTGGGATTCCTGCTTCCATGTTTTGCCCTGCTCTGTTCTTCACCTTAAGTGATCGACTTAAAACATGCATCAGCTTCTAACTCAGATAAGCAGCCATCCGAGACCCTCCAGCATAGACACTAGTTTGAGTCAGTGGAGAGTCCAGAGATAGACCCACAGGTAGAGTTGATTGATTTCAACAGAGACCCTGAGGCTGTTCCGAGTGAGTAAAAAGAACGTGGCCCTGGGACAAGAGAACACAGGTAAGGGAGAGGCAGGCCTGGCCCCTGCCTCACACGCACACGGGTTAATCTGAAATGATTGATAGGCCCAAGTGTAAAAGCCAGCATCGTAAAGCTTCTAGAACAAAATGGAGAAAAATGTCTTTATGGCACCAAGGAAGCAAGGGTTTCTTAAAGTACTTACAAAAAAACACTAGAGGAAAAATTGAAAATTGGTCAATTGGACCGAATCAAAATTCACATCTTTGGCTCATCAGAAGACATCTTTAAGAAAATGAAAAGGCGAAAGTATAGAACGAGAGAAAATGCTCTAAATCCACTGATGAAGCATTGGTCCCGGGATATATAAAAAGCTACTATAAACCAGACATGGTAGTGCACGCCTGTAATACCAGCGCTTAGGAGGGGGAAGCAGGAGGATCAGAAGTTCAAGGTGACCCTTGGCTATATTACATAGTGAATTGAAGGCTGGCCTGGGTTACATGAGACCCTGTCTCAAAAGAACAAAAAAAGAAATCTTTTTTGTTTGTTAGTTTTTTGAAACAGGGTCTCCATGTAGCCCTAACTGGACTGGAACTCGCTATGTAGACCAGGCTGGCCTTGATCTCATAGAGATCTACCTGTCTCTGCCTTCTGAGTACTGGGATTAAAAGTGTGCCCCTCTATGCCTGGCCTCAAAAAAGAAAAATTTTATAAAGCTCAAACCAAAAATGATGTTTAAAAAAAAAACATAAACTAAGGGCTGGAGAGATGGCTCAGAGGTTAAGAGCACAGACTGCTCTTGCAGAGGACCTGGGTTCAATTCTCAGTACCCTCATGACTGGTGACAGCCATCCATAACTCCAGTTCCAGGGGATCTGACACCCTCTTCCATCAACAACACAGGTGCACCTACCTGGATGCAAGGAATACACTCATACAATTAAAAAATAAAAATAATAAATTATTTTTTAAAAAGACACAAAGAGGGGCCTGGAGAGATAGCTTAGTGGTTAAGAACACTGGTTGTTCTTGCAGAAGACCCGGGTTTGAATCCCACACCCACATGGCAGCTAACAACTGTCTATAACTCCAGTTCCAGGGGATCCAACAGCCTTTTCTGTCCTCCATGGGTGGTTGGGTGGATGGATAAATAGGTGGATGGATGGATGGATAGATGGTGAATGGATGGATGGATGGGTGGATGGACGGATGGACGATGGGTAGATGGATGAATGGATGGATAGGTGGATGGATGGGTGGATGGATAGATGGATGGATGGATGGATGATGGGTAAGTGGATGGATGGATGGATGGATGGATGGGTAAGTGGATGGATGGATGGATGGATGGATGGGTAAGTGGATGGATGGATGGATGGATGGATGAATGGATGGATGGGTAAGTGGATGGATGGATGGATGGATGGATGGATGGGTAAGTGGATGGATGGATGGATGGATGGATGGATGGATGTGTAAGTGGATGCATGGATGGATGGATGATGGATGGATGTGTAAGTGGATGGATGGATGGATGGATGGATGGGTAAGTGGATGGATGGATGGATGGATGGGTTGGGTGGGTGACTGAATGGATGAGTGGATGGGTGACTGGCTGGGTGGGTGGGTGGATAGATGAACGGATGGATGGGTAAGTGGATGGATTGACAGATGGGTGGATGGACAGATGGATGGATGGATGGATGGGTTGGGTGGGTGACTGGATGGGTGGGTGGGTGGATGGATGGATGGATGGATGGATGGAGGATGGATGGCTTGGGTGGGTGAATGGATGGGTGGTTGGATGGACAGATGAATGGATGGGTGGGTGGGTAGAAGAACATGTAGGTGGATGTGTAGATGGATGGGTAGGTAGGTTGTATAGATGGATGGATGGATGAGTGGATGGGTGAATGGATAGGTGGGTGAGTGGATGAGCAATGGATGGATGAATGGGTGGATGTGTGGATGGATGAGTGGGTGGATGGGTAGATGGATAGCTGGGTAGATGGGTAGATTGTACAGATTAGATGGATGGATGCATGAATGGATGGATGGATGGATGATTAGATAAAGGACACATGGATAGATGGATGTATGGATGGATATGTGGATTAGGTAGACAGATGGATGGAAAGATGGGTAGATGGATGGATAGCTGTCTTAATGAGAACCCAGAATTCCCCAGGGAGTCCCAGAGATGCTTTAACTAGAGACTTCCAATGCCTTCCTTGCAGACAGCAGGACGCTGGACGTTGGGAGTATTAGGACCTTCACATTCCCCTGAGTCAGCATCTCCCATTGTGGCCTCATCCCTCTGCCCGTCCTCACTTTCAGTGTCTCTTAAGCGGGGTGGTGAATAGGTCAGCAGATAGGCCAAACTGACTCCTCCAGACCATGCAGCCTGAGAGGGCTAGGCCTGAATGCCGGGCTCCATTCTGTTCTCCAGCTCCTTCTCGATGCCAGGGTTTGAGAGGCGTGACTGTTTTCTGAGCACTCTGGGCTGTATTCTCAGGGCAGACAGGGGCCAGGCTTCTTCTGCCAGGAGCTGGCTAACGGGCTTCCTGGTGGTGATGGGATAGGAGGATGTGAGCAGCTGCGTGGCTCCCCTGCAGCACAGAGGGAGGGAGCTCCAGGCCATCAGCTGCAAACAGCAACTGTCAGCAGGTGCCTGAGAGAGCCTGAGGGAGCAGGGGCCAGTCAGACCCCTCCTGGACTACCTGTTGTGCCTCTCAGGGTGAGCTCTGCACAGGGGCCACTAGGAACAGCACAGGGCTGCAGAGGAGGATGGGCTGCTGCCTCTCCCCTACCCCTGAGCGCTGAACCTTCCCTGAAGTGTCATCAAGGCCTGTGTTCGCTACTTGCTGGCAGTGTAACCCTGCCTGGTGGCCTGAACAACGGGATTCATGGTGACCAGCCTCTGTGCACCCAACACAGCATTTGAGCCCTACAAGGGAACCGCTGCTGTTAGGTACCTACACATCAACTCTCTGTCTGCCAGCACCAGCAGACCCAGGCCTAGGCCTAAAGAAACTAGGCCTGGCCTCTGGAGAACAAGGTGGTGAGAGAGTGGCCTACGGGTGGTGCCTGACCTCAGGCCTAGCCGTCTCCCGTGATGGAGGCCCTTCACCGCCCTCTGCTGGTTGAGGCTGGCAGTGGCTCGGCTCACCCAGGACCAGTTCCCCTCTGCACACCCAGGCCATCCACTGTACCCAAGAGCAACCAGAGACACAAGGAAGCTTCTTGACCTCGCTGAGCCATCCTGTGCTCGCAGGACAGTCTAAAGGCTGCAAGATGCAGGATGAAGTTCTGAACAAGGGCCTGCTCTTAGCATGCTGGACGAAACTTAGCCAATCAGGGGCTAGGGGCGGGGCACGGCAGTGGAGTACTTCCAGCCCCAAGCCTTCCAGCTTCCAGGGAAGACTGGAACTCAGCAACTCAGCTAGGCTTCCTCGGAGCTGGAGGATGGGCCCTACGCCCTTCCCTCAGCCCTTGTGGCACTTTCTCGTGATTAATTAGTAGTGTGTTGGTCTCACTCTGAGAGAATGGAATTGGCAGGGTCTGGAGCCCACCCATATCTGCCTGCTGCTCTGATTTCTGCTGAGCTGAGTGGAAAGGACAGGTAGGTGCAGAACACAGTCAGGATGGGGGGTGGGGGAGGAACTCCCTGGCCAGATCTCCTAGGGGATAAAGCTCGGTTCCCCCTGCTAGCCCTGGAAGGTTACCTGCCTGTCAGCTCTCTGGTCTGCCACAGTTCCATGTCTCCAATGTCTCCCCCATCCCTCCATCTACCTGGAACATGTCTTGTAAGCGTCACATCTCTGGGACACTGTGACCACTGCATCCAAGGCCCCCACTCGTGAGCCACCTCTGCTGGTCACATTTTGGTTGAGTCTGTGGACTCAGTTCCTCCCCTGCTAAAGTACAAGCTTCAGACTGGAGACACTTGATTGTTATCACTGTCCCCTTTACCAGGGTCCCCAGCCCAACTCCAAAGCTTGACATACACCAGCTCAATAATTAACTGTTGAGGGAGTGAGCAAATGAATTAATGAGGGCCAGAAAGTCAGGAAATGTGGGCTCCACAGGGACCTTGGGAAAGCCTCTTCATTGTGTGTGGACCCCATATCCCTCTCAGAAAGAAGAGGGGAACCCCAGTAGCCCCAGTGGCCCTTCTCAAAGGTGAGGACATCCTGTCTCCCGAGTACCTAGATAGAAAGGAAATGAGACAAGATGATTAGAAACAAGAGGATGGGGGCAGGGAGGACAGAGGCTGGCCCGGAAATGAGATGGTCCTCTCATACTGTAGTCCCATTCCCCCCAACACCAGAGAGAGAGAGAGAGAGAGAGAGAGAGAGAGAGAGAGAGAGAGCTCCCCATGTGACCTTTGGTAGGTCACTCTCAACTCTCCAGGCCTCTGTGAACTGAACTGGACAGTGGGGACAGGGTGGCATAACTGATGGCAAGGGCTTGGCACAGAGTTGGTGTGGGACCCAGTGCAGTTGGGCTGCAGGAATGGGCTCCCTCACCCCGACAAGTTCATCTCCCTGACCCTACATCATGGCTTCTTGGATCTTGTCGAATGCCACACTGGTGTGTGCTCTCCTGTTGTTTTTCTTGCCTGCTGACATACACCTCCCATGAGTGCAGTGACCGTGACTTCGAGTGCCTAGTGCATAGTTAAATCTCCAGATCTCAGCCAGGGTGGGACACACAGCAGGGGCAGGGGGGAGTCTGAAGGAACAGAGCCATGACTGAGGAATGAAGGAGGATCCCAGAAGCCCCTGAGAAGCAGCCAGGGCAAGGACACTGACCGCCAAGCTGGAACCTCCTCTTCAGCGTGTCCTGCCCCTCTTTCCCTTACTAGACACCCCGCCCGCCCCTCCTTTCTGACCCTATCTTCTTCTCCCTCACAGTTGCCCCAAAGGGACCCAAAATCATGATGACTCCCAGCAGAGCCCGGGTTGGGGACACGGTGAGGATTCTGGTCCACGGATTTCAGGTCAGCCTTTCTCGGAATACCCTGGAGGGGTGGCAGGTGGTAGGGATGCCATATCCCCGGCCACACTCTCCTACACCTGTCCTTCGCCCTCCAGTGGGCTTCAGGATTGATCTGTATGAGGCAGGTATGGCTCCGCAGAGGAGTGGCTCACAGGAGTGTGTGCACTGCACTCACCTTGCAGAAGGTGAGCAAACGCAGCTTGCACTGACCTTCCATCTTTGCGTTTGTCCCAGCCCTGATCCCTGAACCCTGAACCCTAATTTCTCTCTACCTGGGGTTCGTGTGTGTGTGTGTGTGTGTGTGTGTGTGTGTGTGTGTGTGTCTGTGTGACTCTGTGTGTGTGTGTGTGTGTGTCTGTATGTCTGTGTGTCTGTGTGTGTGAGGTGGGGGGGGGGCTCATGTTGCCCAGCCTATCCTCATACTGACTATGTAGCTGAGGATGACCTTGAACTCCTGACCCTCCACCTCCCCACCTCCCCAGGGCTGTGATTACAGGTGTGCACCACCATACTTAGTTTATGGGATGGAACCCAGAGCTTTGTGTATTCTAGGCAAGCACTCTACCAACTGAGCCATATCGCCAGCCCTCCTCCTGGAGTTCTGAGCAGCTACTCACAGCCTGTGAGATGGTGAACGTGGAGCCCAGCCTGCCTCTGATGTTCCTGAGCTGGTGGGATGGCTCCGCCTGTGACCCTGCTCCCTCTTCCTCTGGCCCACAGAATGAGGTTTTCCCAGAGCCCATGTTCACGTGGACGCGGGTGGGCAGCCGCCTCCTGGATGGCAGCGCAGAGTTCGATGGGAAGGAGCTGGTGCTGGAACGGGTTCCTGCCGAGCTCAATGGTTCCATGTACCGCTGCACGGCTCAGAACCCACTGGGCTCCACCGACACACACACCCGACTGATCGTGTTTGGTAGGTTGAGCCGGGCAGGGTCCCCGCAGGGTTACCTGAGTGTAGGCCCTAGCTCAGAGCTGTTCACAGAAGCCCCCCTAAATTAACCTCAGAGAGGCAGTTCACTGGTTATAACCAGAGTAGCGTTGGCATCAGAGAGTCTCAGTTCAAATCCCAGGTCTACCACTTAGCAGGCCAGCAACTGAGTCTCTTGCCTCAGTTTCCCCATCTGTAACATGTGACTAATGAGAGGCTGAGTGGCATCACTGTCCCACTGCATATAACCACAGAGCAGGTGCCCAAGAACAGTCTTTCCTGAGTTAAACTCATTGCTTTTCTGTTTCTTTCCAACAGAAAATCCAAATATCCCAAGAGGCACAGAGGACTCCAATGGTAAGTCTCCATCCTCAAGATTCCTTGCTTAAAGTGAGTGATTTCAAGGCCCCAGAGACCTTTGTTCCCTAAACTGCTGTAACAGAGTTCAGGACCACTAGGAAAACCCACTCAGACTCAAGTGAATTAGAATCAGCCAGATCTTTAATCTAACTACGTGTAGTGACCACTGTTCGAGGACAGGCACAGAACCTGTGGTGGTCTTTTAAGTAGGGGAGGGAATCTTTAAGGGTTAAAAACCACATTGCTTCATTCTTGTGGAATGTACAGTTTGCAAGGGGTGAGATTACACTTACCTCAGAATCTATGATGAGCATGTATACAGAAGCCAAACAAACAGTAGTTCATCATCCCATGACAGTCACAGGACAGAGGGATGTTTAGGGGGTCGGGGTTACATTTCATTGTTACAGTAAAAAAAATCTCAGCCTCTTTTAAGGAAACAGGTAACAGGGTCTGAGTGGTGACACTGCTGTCTGTGGTTAGCCATCACCTGGAACCAGGCCTCTGAGGGGAAAGGAAGGTGTTGTTGGAACTAAGTTCAACCTTAGATCTGACTTGCCTGAGCCAAAATAGAGGTGGAGATCAAGATGGAGTCACCTGCGCTAGCACACTGCTACCTGTACACCTTGGTCCCTCCCTAACACCCAGGCAGCCATCTCCTTCCAGCCTGCAGAGTCAAGGTCAGACAGACTAAGGCACCAAGCAATCCAAAGAGACTCAGCATTCCAAAACAGCCATGGAATGTCAGGGGCCCAGTGACCCCAAGAGGCCCTGTCTGGCATTAACCATGGTATGGTCAGATGTGTCCTCAGACTGCTCCCTCAGTCACCCCAACCTAAGGGCCACCCACAGGACCCAGACCCTGCACACACACACACACACACACACACACACACACACACACACACACACACACACTTAGCAAATCTCACAGTTTATAGCAAAGTCTCTCATTCTTGGTCCCTGCTGGACCATTCGCATGATGTCAGGCCAGTAGGCCTGAGTGGGGACAAGGTCCTGAACCCATGGCAGGCAGGCAGCAGAGCTGGGGTTTGAATCTCATTCACCTGATGCTGCCTCCTAGCATCTTTGCTGGGATCCATTTGTCCCCAAAGACCTCACATGGGACAAGGCCACCACCATGAGACCTGCTGCCTGATACCACCTCCCCTCACACAGGTTCCTCTTCTGGCCCCACTGGCTTCTGGCTCACCCTGGTGCTCGCCCTGACAGTGGTCCTGGAGCTCACGTGAAGACTCATGCCTCTCAAGACACTCCAGCGGCCTGACGACTCCGGGATCGGATTTTCATTTCTTTTCTAAACTATTTCCAGTCTCATTCTTAGTCTTTCTGCCCATGTCTTGGCTTCTTCACTGAGTTTAATTAAAACAAACAGAGCAATTTTCCCCACCTCAGCGTGCTGCTTTGTTTTTCCTTGGTCTAAGAGCAGTCATTGGGCACCAGCTGGCATCCAGGACTAGGATGGGCACAGACAGACGTCCTGCCTGTACCCTTTGGTGAAAGGTGGGCACGTGGCTCCTATGTCATTTGATCCTAACAACAGCCAGGTACAGTAAGTGGCCACAACCCCTCAGGGAATGTTTAACAGTCAGCTGGAGCTACAATAGTGCTGCCTAACAACCCAACCCAAAGACAAACATGAATAATTATGTACAGGCTGAAGTGGTCCAGCCCAGAAATGATCTATCAGGGCTCCTCAGGCAGCTCAGCTTTGGGCAGCAGATTCCCTCCTGTGCTGCACTCTAGGCTGGGGCAGGGTTCCAGTATTCTCCATGGGCTTGAGTTCTATGGATGTTTATCCTGGAGCATAGGTTAAAAGGACAAAGACTACTTGACATCTCTTCTTCTTATGATGTATATTGGTCAGCTTTCCATTACTGTAACAAAGCACCTGAGATTTAACTTATCAAGAAGAAAGTTTCTTTTAGCTCACAATTCTGAAAGTCCCAGTCCATAACCCAGCAGCAATATTACGTTGGGCCTCTGATGAGACTATGCAACATGGTGGCAGGATGTAGAGTCCGTGAGCCACCTCCATTAAGGGCAGGGAGCAGATAAAGAAGAAGAAGAGACCAGTTCCCATGTCTCTCTGAGAACAAAGCCCCAGGGACTAAAGGCTCTCCCATTAGTCCCCATCTACTGAAAGTTCCACCCCCTCTCAATAGGACTGTCTCAGGAATCAGGCCTTGCATAGGGGTGTTTGGGAGACAGCCAGCATCCTAAATACTACCTGGTGGATTGTCAGAGCTAGAGGGAAAGCCCTAGGCAGCACATTTAAGGCCTCAGCCTGGGTCATGTCCGTAGACACTGCTTTAGTCAAAGCATGGGACAAGGCAAAGGCCATTAGTCAAGGGGACATGAAGGATGGTGGTGGGAAGGTTGAGAGTCTTCCAGGGGGAGCTGACCTCCCTGAGCTATGCTCAATGCCTGAGAGGCACCAAGAAGATGATGGAAGTCAAGGTGGGCCGGAGTGGGATGTGGTAGGGTGGTTTAGAGCAGTGGGGCATGGCCTAGTATAGGGGTGCTGCAGCCAGCCCCAAGTCTCACTCACTAGGCACACAAAAGGTTTATCTAGGACTCCAGGGTAACCTGAGGCTGTTGAAAAATCCATTCCCATCTCCAGCTACACAATGACACCCATGACCTCTGAAGCATCGGGGTACAGGAAGAGAGGTCCAAGTCACTGGGGCAGGCAGAATCATGACTCCCAACGATATCCATGTCCTGATACCCAGAGCCTCAGAGGGATCCACTGATCTGGGCCAGGTTGGGCTGCTCTGAGTTGGGCCTCCTATCGCACCCTAGGAGCTGGTGGGTAGCTGGGGACCAGCTGGCCGGGGTGACTCAGCTATGTCACTTGGTCTCTCCCTACTCTAGTACAGGTAGAGGAGCAAGAGAGCTAGAGCGCACAGCCTGCGTGAAGCCCGGGGACTTAATTCAGCATCGCTTCCTCTGTATCTTGTTGGCCAATACAAGTTGCAAAACCAAGCCAGAGTCTTTGGGGCAGAACTAGGGCCTCTTTTGATGGGGGGACCTGAGATGTCACATAGAGTATGGACATGGGGAAGAGAGCAGGGCGACAGCTATTGTGCAGGCTGCAGAACTCTACTTTCTAGCTTAACATTTCAGCTGAGCATGGTGGCACATACCTGTAATCCCAGTACTCAGGAGGTAGGGGCAGGAAGATCAGGAGTTCAAGGCCATCCTCAGCTACATAGCAAGTTCAGGGTCAGCCTGAGCTAAATCAGACCCTGTCTCCAAAAATAAAATAATATAACCCTTTGTATTTTGCTTTCCTTCTTTCTGCATGTTTGTGTATGTACATGCCCGTGCGTGCATAGACACGTGTGCCACCACACACATGTGGAGGTCACAGCCTCAGCTGTGGGTCTTTGCTTCCACCTTGTTAACGAGAGCGTCTCTCTTGTTGTCTCTCTGCTGTGCACACCAGGCAGAACTTCCAGGGATCCAACCGTCTCCACCTCCCATCACCCCATAGGAGCAGAGGTTATAGGCGCTAACACTGGGCATCTGGCTTTTCTGTGGACTCTGGGAATTCAAACTCAGATCTTTCACCCATTGAATCAACAATTGGCATTTGAACTTGAGATTCTAGAATCTTGGTTTTCCTTGTTACCAAGCCTTACACCCTCATTTAAGCACAAACTCTTCCTCCTACAAATTTCTGTTCTAAATCTATAAGAAATAAATGGTTCATTCATTCACTAAATATTTTCCTTCTCATGTTTTGTCAGTTGACAATAATGCTGAACTAAATAACCTTCAGTTGTTGAAAGTTCTCAGGCCTTCACCAGTCCATAAACACTCAGGCCAGATGAGCAAGCAACCACCACACAGTACCACCAGCCTCCTTGACCTGCTTCCTTCTTCCTCAAAGTCCTCCTCTGTCTCCCACGAGTCACCTGCCCCCCTCCGCTGCTAGCAATTCTACACAAATCCCTGCCACCAGATGGCTTTGCCTATTTTCCAGAAGACATTTTAAAACACAGGTTTATTCTCTCTCCTTGCCTTCATAGAGGGAAGCCCATGTAAGCATGAAATTGGACTTGTTTCACCCTGTTAACAGCAGGGTCGTTGGGCTCTACTGACCCCTGAGGTGCATCAGTATCTCAGCAGCCAGCAGAAAAACCACAAGATATGAGGCGGTGGGTGGGAAGGTGGAAGTCGACAAGAGAGGGCTAGCGGGGATGCTCCAGGGCTACAGTGGCAGGGCAACCATCTGCTTTGCCTTTGTGTTGAAGGACTTGCAAGCTGCTGTCAGAGGTGGGGACAGGGATGGTAAAGAAAGGCTCAGCCCCAGCGGGGAGGAAGACCCTGTCTCTTCATTCATCCTCCACTTGTCCCTTCATCTGTTCACACATCCTGAACCTTCCCCAGCCAAAGCCTATGTTGGGCAGGGGATCCATGAGGCCAAGGCTGGAAGGGCTCTTCCCTTAAAGAACCCCCAACCAGAATGACTGTCCTTCCCCCCAGAAGAGCTACAATTCCTCTCCTCAAATGTCTGAAAATAGCAGTATGGGGGAGCAGTTGGAGCACCCACAGGGCAAAAAAAGACTCCTTTTTTTTTGGGGGGGGGTAGCCTTGACCTTGCAACTGGCCTTGAAGTTTAAGAGAGGCAGTTGAAGTCAGCCTGCCCCTCACCATGTGGCTCCAGGTGCCTTGGCTGTGACCAGACCAACAGGCGCACATTGCCAGGAGGGGACGAGCCCAGATTCCTGTCTGCTGTGCAATGTCCCCTGAGCCCCCCGCCATCTCCCCCATCTGAAGCAGAGAGAAGCCAGGCAGACTCATACCTGCTGAGGTATACCACACCAGCAGGTTCTGGATCCTGGACATTTCACCTCCTTCTGCACCAGCCTCAGGTCCCTGAAACTCCTGTGCTCAGCTGCCCCAGACTGCTATGCTCACAGAGCTCCTTGGGGTATGTCAAGTGTGCCAAGCCGAGCCAGCAAGGTCAGAGGTGGCTGCAGGGCCTCAGCAGGCTGCTGTCTCTGAGAGCCATGTGTCAGGAGGGTACCTATCCTTCCTTCTTGGACAGCTTTGAGTTGGACTTATCAGAAAGTGTTCACAGCTGCCGCAGGTGCTCCACGGCAGTGCTCCCAGGTTGGGTCTCCGAGCTCAACCTGAGCTCCTCAGTGTGACCATCTAGGGTCCACTCCCCAACTGGGGCAGGAAGTTAGGGAGACCTGACATCTGCATCTCAGTGCTGTCCCCGCCAGGCTGGAGCTGACCTTCCGTCTACTCAGAGCCTGTGGCTGCTGTCCCCTCCTCAACCCAGGACACCAGCCTCTGAACCCACAGCAGGCACAACCTGCTTGTTTCTGTGGTACTTAGGGCTTTACTAGTCTCCCCACAGCTAACTATGACCCCACCTGCCATAAGACAGCCACTGAGTCACCTCGTGCTCCAGAAAAGCTGAAAATGACGGCGGCAGGCCTTAAACATAGGTTTGTATATTTCTAATGGGGCAGGGTGGACAGACCGGTGCTGGGGACTCCTCCACTCGGAGCCCCGATCTGCTGGTGAAAACGGAAGAGGGAGGCGAGGCAGGGGCAGAGGGGTGATGAGGGGTAAAGGCTGGGGAAAATGAGGAAGAAGAAACAAGAATGGGCTGAGGAAAGGAGGGAGGGAGAGGGAGAAGGGGAGGAGAGGGTGTCAGCCACCCAGGGCTGTTTGGGCTCCATGGGTCAGGCTGCTCTTGGGTCAGCTATAGAGAGATTTGACTTCTTGGAGTATATGGAGATAGAGAGGAAGGTACAACTTGGAGGAAAGGCCAGCAGAGAGGTCACCAGTCCGGCTGGGCTCCTTGGGACAGAAAGTGGTACACTGAGGGGTGTGCAGAGAGATCTGGGGAAGGAGGAGTGGACAGAACTGAGGTAAAGGACAGAGGGACATTGACAGATGGATACAGAGCCACCAAGGTGGGGGAGGGACAGAGGAAGGAGCAGGTGGAGAGAGAGGGGAGACAGGGTGTGATGGCATTAACTGTCAAGTTGATGGAGCAATCCCTATTGACCAAGTCTAGAGTCCTGTGGAAGATGGGCCTCTGCCAAGGCCTGTGGGAGATTTTTTTTAATTGGGTCAATTGAGGTGGGAAACCCCACTTTGAATATGGACAGCAGCATTTCATGACTGGGCCCTAGACTTCGTGAGGAGCAAACCACTGAGCAGCCCCCATACAGGTTCTGGCATCCTGTGACCAGCCACCTCAGGCTCCTGCTGCTCTGACTTCCCCACCCTTGATCTCTGAGCTGAAATAAACCCTTTCCTGCTTAATTTGCATTTGGCAGAGTAGTTTATCACAACAATAAGAAAGAAGCAGCTGGAGAGATGGCTCAGGGGTTAAAAGCATTGCTCTTGCAGAGGAC